ACTTGCTGGGCACAAATATTTTTGCTTTTTAGATGGATATACTGGTTACCATCAAATTCCTATTGCTCCTGTGGATCAAGATAAGGCAACATTTACTAGTCCTTTTGGAACTTTTGCTTTTCGAAGAATGCCTTTCGGATTATGTAATGCACCTACAACATTCTAAAGATGTATGATGTCCCTACTTAGTAAGTTAATTGATGATGGATTGAAAGTATTTATGGATGATTTCTCTGTATTTGGAACATCATTTGACGCATGCTTAAATTACCTTGAAAAAGTTTTGGAGTTATGCGAAAGAACTAATTTGGTTCTGAACTGGGAGAAATGCTAATTTATGGTTGCAGTTGGAATTGTGTTAAAGTATAAAATTTCTGAAGATGGTATGGAAGCAGACCCTGCAAAAATTCAAGTTATAACTAAACTAACACCTCCTACTAATGTAAGAGAAGTTAGGAGTTTTCTTGGACATGTTGGATTTTACAGGCGTTTTATTAAAGATTTTTTAAAATTTACTAAACCTCTATGCCAACTTTTAGAAAAGGATAAGTAATAGTTAAGTTTGGGGGATTTTGACCAAAGGAAAATATGTTGAGATTTTCATACATATTTTATACTGTTTTTAATGATATTGCGCTTTAAAGAAAGTATCTTTGATCTTTTGTTGCAGGAATGATGAATTAGGGTTATTGGAGCAAAAAGATGCTAAAAGGAATGAATTTGGAGTGAAAAGGACCAAAATGTGGAGATTTGAACTAGACCACTGACGGCGAGTTTTTCCTGAGACTACAGGACAAAATTCTTCAGAAGCCCGCCGACGGCACCCTCGAGGCCGCCGACGGGGCCGCCGACGGCGAGCTTGACAGTTATGCCTAATCAGGCTTTGGATAAGGCCAATTTTTGAAGGGATGCTTAGGTAACTCTTGGGAAAGCTCATCCACAACTTTGAAAGAACATTTTGGCCAAAAATTAGAGAGGTCCTGGATGTTTGAGAGGTCCTAGAGTGTATAAAATTTTTATTAGTGTGTAACAATTGTGAGGATTTCTTCGAGAGATTGTAAGAGTGGAGGGAAAGTGAGAGATTTCTTCCTCCTTGCTACTTCAAAAAGGAATTC